TACCGATGGAAAGGAAGAATCCATTGGCTTACATGCTCTTTCCTTAACGAGGTCAAACTGAAGCTACATCATGCGATTCGTCTCCCCGTGGCGTGGTGCATGCGGCTCTCTCAAGTACAAGCGATGGAGATGGCCGAGCTGTGCGAGCGTACAGGGCGTGACTGGTACGGGTACTGCCGTGAGACGTGCTGCAAGGACCTCCTCAAGGTTCTAGGAAAAACAAAATGGCACCGAGGGTACTGATCAAAAGCTGTCGATTTTGTCGATTTTCTGGCTATTTCTGAACATTTAACTGGAGCGATTCCCGCAGTTTGGGATCCTAGATTTGTTCTTTCTCCAGTTCAAAGAATAAATCTGAAAGTGGTATCGGGACCTACCTTTCAAACTCCAAGTCAAAGAGTTTGGAATCATTGAAAAAGGACACCAGTCTAGGATTCTATAGGCAATAAATGGCTTCGCTCCACGAATACATAAAACACAATAGATCCAACTAAGAAAGCACACCGAGAATACTAACGGTCATGCCAATTAGGGGCCCTTGAAGTGTGTTGATTTTGCTATGTGATCCTGTTTGTATCTTATACGGTACCGTATGACTGATCCAAGTACAATTATTCAATGCAAAACTGGAGTCTTTCATTGACGAAATGAACCGGCCCCTAATTGACAAACCGGTCCGAATTGGCATTTTATTTTACAGTTGTTCCGCGAGGCCAGATTACATAATGCGGGGAAAATGTTAACAGCTACGACACCTCTATGAAGCATGTTATTGGTATCTGTGCACATGGGCTTCATGATGGCTAATAAAGCTAGTTAAATGATTTAAAAGGGCAAGGTAGTGTTTACCACGCGGAGAGCATGATGCTGCGGTGTGTCTGCAGGCGTCACAGCACAGCGTGCAAGTGGAGGTGAGTCGAACAAAGAGTTCGACACGCCGAGGATTGAACCCGGAATCCACTGAGTGCTACAACCCCGTCTAGTAGCTTAATTTTAGGAAGAACCACTGAAGCTGTGTATAATAATTCACGACGTTGGAAGACTGTGTTGAAGCGGGGCATTTGGGCATTGAACAGCCTAATACTGTCTGAGACCCCTGGCTCGGTGAAGAAAGACGCACTGCGTCTGATGTGAAAGAGCCGACATTTGCCAAAGAGCCTGTGGCATACAATTAAGTATGAAGTCCGCTTAAACGCGAGCACAACGACCTCGCAAGAAGATCAACAATCATTTTGATAAAGACAGCCACATGTCTCTATGTAAATACGCATGTACAAAATTGCATTTAGACAAATAAGATTCCTTTGCACAAGATGTTTGAGGCAAAACGTGGTAAATTATAACTAGTTTGCTCGAAGCTACATCTAGCTCCTGTAAGCAAGCATCAGAGATACAAACAGCACAAAACATATGAATCATATCATACCTATGACTTCAGATCTTTTCACAATCTCATTCGCCGGATTGCTTTGTGCTAAGAAAGCTTTGATATTCTCGTGGGTCTTGATGTATCTTGCAAAGCGCTCGGGCGGTGGTGGAATTTCGGTGCAATAGGACGTCATGCACAGCAACAAAGCCTCAGAACTCCAGTGTAGTCTGCTGTACCCTTGTAAGGGTCTGAAACCGGTCAAATTGCTCAAAATTGACTCTGTTTGAGCAATCATCATGACTCCAAAGCTTGGGCTATCCGGTTGTTTGGCGTTGTGCAGTCACACTTTCTTCACTTCAGGAAATGCCAACGAGCATCAAATGCTCTGGTTTGGTTCGCGGATTCGTGTATTCCAGTCGGCCATAAAGGTTGTAGTTCTCATACAATCTCACTAGAAAGGGGATCATCTGTCTCCCCATTCGACTTTCAAAAGTGCTTTGATCCTCCAAGGGGATTGTAGATGTAAACTGTGGTTTTCTTGTTGTAGCGGACTTTTGCAACGATCGGCATCCAGTGTACGCTGGATTGGTTTACTGGAAGTTTGCAATCGACTTTCTCCCAGACGGGAGCGCAAACTTCGTGTGCA